TATATGCATAACTCCAATATGAGTGCGCTTCGAACAGTGGAGAGCTAGTCTGGCAGCCTTGTTTTGAGCTATTTGTAATTTCTGTATGTGTTTTTGCTGCTGATGACCATATGACCGGACAGTACTCAAGATGTGACAAAACCAGAGACTGAATGACTTGTTTCAAAGTGGTTGGTGTTACATACTTTGTACATTTTCTCGTCACAGCTATGCTCCTTCCCATTTTAGTTACGATACTGTCTATTTGCTTTGTCCACTGTAAACCAGAATCAAGAACAATGCCAAGCAACTTATTCTCGTTTTCCTGTTCCACTGGCTGACCAGCCAGCGTCAGGCTTAATTGAGGATTGCTGCTTAACATATGTCTGGATCCGAACACCATTGCTTTTGTTTTTGCAATGTTGAGTACCAGTCACTTCGACCAAGATATACAGTAACTACATATGTATTCATCAGTCTATTACTGGCATTGACTCCCAAGCAAACTTCACTGACACTGATTCAGGGTCCAGACCTGTTGTCTGTGGAGAGCTTTTATTCTCCAGGAGAGCTTAGACCTGTGACCCGGATCCCCAGAAAACTCCCTTGGCTGATGAAATGACAAACAGCAGGCAGGCGGTGGCATGCTTTGCTTGCCAAATACAGCACTCTACGTTCAAATAGTGCTGACAGGGAAAACATAGACATTGTTATCCAAGGTCGCTCACTTGGGAGTGAGATGTTGAGGCTAAATCTCCTCCCGGCAGTGTGTTCAATGTGTTTCTACTTCTGTAACTGTGGGAAAATAGCACACATGCAGATAATGCGATTGTAGTTTTTCTTACTTCCAATGATCTACGTAGGAGCTTGTGTGTTTAGGGACTAAAGCAAAGGATTGTCTTTAAATCCACAAAAGTACATTGTTTATATTAAACTAAATACATTTGCTCCATTCAGAAAACAGGAAACAATCCTGACAACCATCTTTTTTATTTGGTTTTCATCTGACATTGGTGACTCAGTGTAATTGTTTCCCTCTTTGCTTCTCCCTAAATTCATTGAAGTGGACCCGTCTATTTCCTCTGATGGTTTTAATTCAGCCAAGCATACCGGCTGCTACTGCACTGCCCGCTGCAATGATAAACTGCAGAGTGTGGCATTCATTCATTCAAGCATATCCATCAAAGTACAACCTTTTCTAACTAGAAACAAGCTTTCCCAGAGAGGCAGGCTCAGGAAACATCTGACCTGTATTAAAGAGAGCATGGAGATTCCAAGACCGGCTAGTTTTGTTTCACTGGTTTAAGAGGCGTATCGTAATTTCACATTAAAACATAAAGTTAAGCACTATGGAAACCACTTAAAACAACATAGTGGAAACGTGTATGCCAGCTGGCGACACTTGTAGCTGCAAGTAGAAGAGAAGAGACGTGCACCTACAGTATATAAATCACTGTGTTTGCTCTATTCAGGACAGATGTGGTAACACTGGCTGAGAAGGAGAGAAAAACATATAGGATTTGAGGCTCCATAATGATACCTGACTTGTGAAAAAAGTAACTTTATAGCTTCACGTTTCAAACTAAAGTAGTGGGAGGACCTGCCTTATTGTAAGCACTTAAAACGTCTCATTTCATAGTTCTGTTTAATTATATCAATCTTTATTTCCTCCATGAAAACGATATGGTAGTCTCCTGAGTAATTCAATGATATTTTATGTTTTGGCCATTTACTTTTTGACAGTTTTTAGTGGAAGATGGCTCTGGATATAATAATACTTGTGAACTTCAGGGAAAGAAATTCAGTCTGAAGTTTTGCCATACAGTGCAGTGTTGTACTGTACCTTTGACATTTGATGAAAGAAGCAGGTATGTTCTAATGCAGTTGCTAACCTTTAAGAAAATAAGTGTTGTGCCGACAACTACTCTCAGCCATTAATGAATGAATGGCTGATCTTGACTTCACAGTTCACCTAAAGGGCCACCCACCCTTTTTCCTGTTTTTAAGTCCCCATAAACGACTTGTTTGTGAGTGGAATAGTCTAATGAATGCACCCCTATATCTTCTACCTAATATGTATGTAGAAGTGTAAAACTGCACATTGTCCCCTTGGGCCTGAGACCCTTATGACCCCAGTTCTCCCCCTAATCTCTTAATCTTCAGCGGAACAGCAGCCTCTGTGATCATTGGCAGGTAGAGCACGTTGCATACCTTCCTCCAGTGGCGCTTAAGGGGGGGATATGTGAGAATATCTGCAGGTAATCCAAATCTCCTACTAATATTTGCAGCCGGACTGTGGCCTGTGCTTACGGGTGGGCTCAGTGGAGGTAAACACATGGCCTTCTGCTAGAAAGTGAAGCCAGATTATGTAACCAAGGGCAGACATATGAAAAGGCGCATCCTGAGATGACCTGTAAGAAGAGCTGAGGTGCATCTTCAGCTGGATGCGCTGCTGTGTTATAAAACTGTCGCCTCTGTCAGTAAATCACAGCCTAATGGAATAAGGCATTGTAAACACTGTAGAATGAACAAAGGCCATCTCAGTGAAATGAAACAAGCATATATGGCGTTAGTTAATAAGCCTGAAGACAAGGTGCTGCTACAGCTTTATTGTTATGTGCCTCTGTTTATTTGCAATGACTGGAGTACAGAAATGATGGAACTATCTCTAATATGCCACTCTTTTAAATACACATACTTTTAATTCTATAACAAATCACACCTACTTATACAAAAAACATTTATGTAGTGCTATTTTTCTTCATCAAATGCCTCTTGGACGTAATCTAATGATGTGGTTTATGTTGTGTGTCACATGTTGTCAGGCAAGAAAAAGGTTAGACAAGGATTGTAGTTTTGGTCCAAAATGGATCACCATTGTATCCCTGACATTGAATGCATTAGCTTTCTACAAGTTATAAGAAATACAATGGTTCTTATCCTCAAATGGAAATAACATCATCTGTAAAACAGTTAACTTGTAGAGGTGTTTGGGTTGGATGGGTACAAGCATTTGCTTTCAACTCCACTATATTTCTGAAACCGTAAAAAGCATTTGTCTAGTCAAACTGCAGATGCCTTTTTTAGCAAAGCTTTTCCTTAATAACCATGAAACCTTATACCCATGTGGCAAACAGATGAAAATGAAACGTGCAATGCATGTTATTGTAATATAAGCCTTTAGTGGTGGAGGAAGGAAGTGTTCTCATAAATTATGACCACAACACACAACATTTACATTCCAGAGTTCATGCCCATACTGTTGGACTTTTTGAGACTTTTGTCCAAATCATTTATTGTGACAGATGGTTACTTCACTCAGCACTGGCCCCCTCTGATATCTTATGGAGTCATCAGCAGCCAGTTGTCAAGTGTAATGCGACTGGGGACCATAACTCTCCCAGCAACTACCACTAAACATGCCAGACAGGTCTGGCTCCCTCCCCTCCCTCAGATCGATATCAAATGTTCTCACAGAGCATCAGCAATCAAGCACGGCAGCATGGTGAGCGCTCAGACTTCAGTCAAAGGTTACAGACGGCCGGCCAGCTTCGCCTGGCCTCAGCCAATGTGTGACCGCTGATTGAAAGAGTTCTTTGACAGTTTAACATTTCTCCACCCCACACTTCCCCCACCACCTCCTCCATCGCTCTCCTCCCCTCTCTCCTCACGGTTGTTTTCCTTTCTCAACCGTGCTGATTAAACCTGGAGTTCCCGACGGGAGGCTCTGATTTCCCAGCCTTGACTGTTACTGTAGTGAAGTCAGCGCTGCATGTCCTCACACAAGGCCAGTCAAACCCACTGGCTACAGAAGGCTGAGTAATGCATGGAGTTTGACTAGTGCAACATCTCCAGGCGTGTTGTACCCCATGAGGTTCTGTTGTCATATTAATCTCTGTCAATAATTCAGCCCAATACAAATGTTTGACTCTTTATTGCACTTGGTTACTTAATACATGCTTTACTCATTATTTCTAGATGACTTATAAGACCTTTACAAGAACAGCTTCTATGAAATCCTTTTGCACAGCTTTTGCTTTGTCTTTTTTGTCTGACGGATTGTACTCCCAGTAAAGAGTTGTATCACAACCGGGCCAAAATCCATTCCTCAACACCTTATGAAAATGAACTTGAGTTCAAACAGCCAACGCGTTTCCCTTATGAATTCAAGAGTGTTGAAGACAAAGCAAGTGTCTGAAGGATAATAGCACACAATAAGGTGTTATCTGAAATGAGTATTATATAGGTAATAGGTACTTGATTGGTAACCATTGATAGAGTATAATAACATATTAAAGTGAGTTTATTGTGGCCAAAAACAATTATAAAGATTTGACCAGTATGGAAAACAATCTGATTAAGTCAGTGCATCAAACAACTCTAAAAAGTTGTTTCATTCAAGTTTTAAAAGATGGCCCTATTCTTCGCACTAAACATGCTTGTGCCCCACACCCACACCGGCACACCCACAAACTCTAGTTTAATTAAATCACAAAATGTGGTTTCCAAATGTCAATTGATTGCAAGAAAATGTTGGAGGGGTCATTTGACTTAATGCAGCTCAAGGTAGATACACCATCAACTCCAGCCTAACATGGAGGTAACATTAGACATTGACAGAACTGGATTTCTGAATTTGATAGTGCAGCTTAGTGCAGTTCTGAGGGTAAGCAAATTACATCGCCTGGAGCTACTGCTGAATGAATGGAGCCTTTTTCATGATCACAGGGAAAACTTCCCCCGGGGGACATGGAATTTCAGAGGGTTTTCCCCCTTAAACATACACTGGTACACTTTAAAGGTAAAAGGTAATTTTGCACTTCCTATCCTGGATAATGCTGTTTGAACTGAATGAAACACTCCCATTCATTGCAGCCCAAACTCAAGCAAGATGTGCATGTTTTAAGAATGGCTTCATGCCCAGTTAGAATAAGGATTTCGTTATATGTATGCAAAAAAAAACATCTCAGTTCATGTTCAATTCAAAAACTTGAATGTTACAAACAACAATGGGGACTCACCGTTTTGCTCCTTTACACTTGGAGTGTGAAATTTGCTGACATGACTTGATTCAGCTTCCGAGCCATATTGTTGGAGAAGCGATGCAAGAAGGAATAATAATGGAAGGATCATTTGGATGAGTGGTGGTTGGCGATCACAGAGCTCTGTTGAAGTGATGGTTTGTATCACCACACACATGCGTCGTTTACAGGACACCAGTGCTGTTTTGGACACATTTGGAGAGGATAAAGGCAGAGTAGAATCCACATAATCTTAATCATCAGTCCTTCAGGTGAAAAAGTAAAATGAATATCTCCCTAAATCAAGAAAAATCCTCATCCAAATCTCGCAGACCTTGCAGCTTCTGCGTAATGCAAGTGCGCACCTGTTGGTTCACAGAAAAGTTGGAGACTGAGTTGAGGAAAGCTCGTCGTGCCGTAATTATAATCCCGGAATTAGTTGTGAAAACGTCCGTATGCATGCATATCATCTATGGTCATTAGAAAAGCAACGAGGCATTTTGGCTAAAGCGCGCGTCCACGTTGCGTTCTTGACTCAGTCTGAATAAATCCCCGCAGATCTTCACGCATTACAGCAAGAGCTCCCACACAGAGACAGCGAGAGAGAGAGCAGCAACATGATACAGTGTGTACTCAGAAACCACTCGCAACACCGAGACGAGTTCCGTTGTCTGGCGAGGTCTAGAGTCATGACTTGGTGGAGACTGAGATAAAATATCGCTGCGCGGCCGGGGTTGGGTTTTTGCAGACTGCCAACTGACGGCACAACAGGTGCTATACATAAAGTACAACTTCCCAGCCAAGGCAACTCCCCGACATGTTAACCATTCCGCTGCTGCTGGTCCAATGAGGTGTTTTATCCACTTTCAGCTACACATACTGTATTGCCAAATTCAGTTTCAGTTCCAGGAGTTTAACTTTCCAGGCAGGCAATGTGTCATCTTCTCCAGAGAACTAAGAATAAAGCAGCTCAGCACATTCTGTCATGAAGAAGATACAAGGTAAACTATGCAGACTGTTTCCTCCACAATGTAGAAATAACTTCAATACACAAAATACCAGAATACATGACTTCAAATTGACCTTTTTGTAGTTGTTTTTCTTATTCTATTATTTTAGAATAACCTGGAATCAATCAAATAAGAACATCAATTATCAGTGAGTAAATTATCATTAATCACATTAAATGAATTATTAAGAAAAACATTGTTTTAAGTCTAAAGATGACAAGATGTGTATATTATTCCATGTAGAATAATCTTTACAAAATGTCTAAACAAATACAGAACATTATAATATATAAAATACATAGTTTTCCAGATAGTTGTGTCTTATGTCAATAAAAAGGAAGCTAAATTGTAACATTATGGTGGAGGTTGGCAAAGACAGACATGTATGATATCTCATTTTCTCTTTCTGTGTTAAAACTCAAAACTATATTTTTCCTACACTTTCAAACATCATTTTGGCCCACTTACATTTTCCAGTGCATCACGGTTCATCAAACTCATAACGTGTACATGGTTAAACAATAAAGTCCACAGATCATATTCACATATGGAGCTTCTTCATCATTCAAGAGGAAACTTTCCATGAGGAAATATGACTAAGCATGCTTGTTGTAACCGTGGCGTGATTGTTTAAATCCTTGATTCATTTTCCCAACAGAGAGATGAAAGACGCATGTGTTCCCTCACTGCACTGTTCAACACGCCGTTGTGCATTCTGCTTAACTGTTTCTGTGGAAGGAAATGTTTAAGAGCTTCTCAATTTGTCATATCAAAGCAGAGACACCGCTTGGAACAATACTCCCTCCTGTTCCCAATTTCCTTTCTCCCCGGCACAATGTTGTACCTCATCAACTGTGTTTCATGTGGTTCCTCCCATTTATTATTGGCAAGGACCCACCAGAGTATCCCCCACAGTAAGTCTGCTGCAGCACAGACACAACAATCAAAGGAGAGCTGAACACATATTGAACCCATTGAGCCAGACACATGATGTAATGCTGCAGCAATTTACCCCCTCACATAGCTCAGAAACTACCACCTCAAAGAGAGCGCGGAGCAGCCATCTCCCCCGCATCAAGGTATGAAGGGAGGTTTTGTGGTTTTAATCAGAGTTAATGGCTGGGAAAGTAAGGCATGGGGCATGGATACAGTCATTTCGTACGTGTGGTGCCCCCGTGGAGAGGGGCAGATAGAGGTCTTCTTGTGCCTGCTGCAAGGGCCAAGGCCCTTTGTGTAAAGGAGGGTATCACATTCCAGCCCTGCAAGGGCCTGCAGCAGATGTCAGCACTTCACATTGTGGAATCCCTCTCTCTTTCGCACACACACCCATACACACTCATTCACCCCTTGAGGTTTTGTCTGTGAAAGCTGGGTATTTTGTCTCGTTTGTCTACATGTGATTGCCACTTCCTTGGTGGTCTTGGGTAATGGAGAGTCTTCGATACAAAGACATATAATAAACAGAGACAATTAGAAACAAGGCAGACCTTTGGGGTCATGACTAACATACAGAAACATGCCAGCCAGGAGGGCTGTGTCCACCGGGCATACTGGAGATGGAAATGTATACAGCAGAGAACTCACAGTCGGCGGCTCCCAGATAAATCCCTTTAGACTTGCTTGCCTTTTTGGGACACATACTGTCAAACAAACAAACGCCCGCTCCCAATCAGTCCCTGTTACACAACACATCTGTCCCTGTGTCTGCGAAACACAAGCTTTGTTCCAGGTGAAATGAAGTAATACACAAAGGAGCGGACGTGTTTGCTATATCCAGATCTCAGCTCATTACATTTGGAAGAAAAAGGCTTTTGAGATCACTTCATTTATATGGTAAAACCTCCTGAAGCAGCAGCAGGAGCTTTTTGCTGTGTGGTCCTGCGAGCCGTGGGAAATGTGCCAGCAGACGAATTTAGAAAGTAATGACTCACATTCTCTGGAACTTTAACAAATTGAAGTCTTCTAAATCCATTGTTATGCCTGCTCAATCGTATCATTGAATCACAGTATCAAGGTTGTGCTAATAGTCTAACGTGGTGCCATGTCCTTCATATTCTGGACACAGCTTTAAATCAATGGGTACTTAAGTTTTATAAATATGAATGTCTTGTGCTTCAGTTTGTCATGTAAAAAGTGTGGCATCAGGGTGATTTATTGCCCCTGGCTGCACTTGGCTTGGAAACCAGAGCCCCCTGGTGGTGCCCCTCAGCCCTACGCTCAGTATTTACCTCTCAGTAGTATATACGGGCCCCAATGAGCCAGTACCAAAATCCAATACGTCAGTGTTGTGCTCTAACCATTAATTACACTGAAACATGGATATTCTTGCCTGCTACATTTATCCATTACATTTGTCTGCATCCAGCTTTTCACAGCGGAAACCTGAAGTGAATTCAATTGAGACTCACTTGTTAGTTTTGGATGCTGTTCTCTATTTGTTATTGCTCCTGGATGCACTGAGAACGAGACAGGAGTAAGCCTACAGTGTGATTAGCTGGGCTTAAAGTAAGTTACCCCATATTAATGTATGGGTTCTGTTGTGTGTGGGATAATATTAATATTAAAGAAAGCAACACTTATCCTATAAGTGTCGTTTTTTTATATTTCAGGAAATTAACTGTGGTGTTACTTTATAAGCTAACCACTCTTTTCTTATATAAATGCCAAATGTTCATTCAATGCAACATTAAAAAACATATTTGGCATCTCATGTTGGAAGGATCCTCTTGCTCCTTGAGGAATTCCCTCTTTACCTTTGAGTACAGTCCAACAATACTGGGAAGAAGCGCTTCGGTTTCTGGCTTCCTGCCTTCATCATAATCTTGGGTCGTTTCGCAATTACTGAATATGTGCTGACGAGGAACATTGAGTTTCCATTATGGCAACCAGCATATACAATGTTCCCGGGGACAAATCTATACTGCAACACTTTATCAATACAGTATTGTTCTGGAGCCCTGCACTGTGTGATGTTTACTCTTATTTACAACCATTTGTAGTTTCAATAGTATGCAACGGTAGTGGTGTTACAGATATGTCTTATATTAAGTTGTTTAAATTGTAGCATGTATAATACGGCTGCATAGATGTTTTGTTTAAAGGGGGAAAGCCCCATTCAGAGGGGAAACACCCTGATCAATAACTGAAGCGAGACTCATCTACTACTGCAGGGAGATGCCAAGAATATGTCACTGCTCTGCGAAACTGACTTGTTACTGTACCGCTGTAATGAGGGTATCGATCCAGAGGACTCTGAGAAGCACAATTTATTATTTTCAAGTTTATTTTTGTATTTCACATTAGAAAAAGAAAAGAAAAATATCACAGCAGAATCATAATTAACACTAAGCCTGATATAGTATGGGGTATTAGTTTATATTTGGGATGGCATCCAGTTGAATCCTCACTAAGCTTTAACAACATATACGTTCAATAATATGAAAGCACAAAGTCTGAACATTCCATCACTGTCAAGCCTTGTAGACCCTATTTCCATTGGAACAACAGCTGGTTAATGTGAAACAGGATATCAAACAAAGGAAAATAATACTTGGAAAATGGTATGAAATGTATTTCAGAATGACCTGTTAATGTTTTTGTAGTATAATTTTCCAAAAGTTCCATTCAACCCTTAGAGGCACGAGTGACTGGACCCTACACTCTTCCATGGGTCAACAAGGACCCGTATTAGAATAATATGTGTTTTTATGCCATTTTTGTCATTTTGGTTAAGAAAAATCACTTGTATAATATTTAGGTTCACAATAGAAATATTTTATATTCAATTCTTCACTATTTAGAATCTTTGAATTTATTTTTACATTTTGAAAAAAAAATGCATGCGGGTCATTTTTGACCCACTTATGAAAGCTTGGGGTAGTAATACGAAAACTACAATTTCTTAAAATGTAAATTTAAAAATAGAATGGCATGATATCCAAAACATATTTTTTGAGGAATAGCTGGAATATGAAATGATAAAAAAATGTGATTACAAAGATATGTCAAGAAAACCACCTCACCGGGTCAAAAAAGACCCACTTATGCACCTATTAAGACGAGACCAGGATCAGGACTGAACACAAACAAATGAAAAAGCATTAAGACAACTTTACTATTGGTATGGGATACCTGTCAATAGGATAACAAAAGGATAACCTTTATATTGTTAGAAACATTATAAAAGGAAAAGCTATTTATTGTATAACCCCCCTTAACCTTAAGTATTTTTACATCAGGATTTACAAAAAACAACCATAATCCTCCCCTTATTTGTATTTCTTTCCCATCTGTTACCATCTGTTACCATCATCAACATGACTATAAATTCAACATCAAATTCACTTTGCACACACACACAATTCAAAAATCCCATTCTATGGCTTTTTTGTTTTATCTTCATGAGTTACATTAAAGTCTTATACACTTTGACAGCAGATCTACTTCTTCTTCTTCCAAGAGATGTATCCTGTCACTGATATGAAGTCATGTCCATTAATCTTCCCTGACTTCAGCTAAAGAACTGCACATCACTTCGGGATTGAAAACAGTTTACTGAGCAGTGAAAAAAGATGCTTAGCAGTAGTGGGAGAAATGTGCTCTGAATGCCAGGTATAATACCACAATAGATTGGTTCAATCCAGCCTGACAGATTTCTGGAACCGCACAAAGTTGTCCATCAGACACATGGCTCGCAGCCAGCCACTGAACATTTTTTAGACAA